AGTGGCTCAGGGATTTATTGTTCCACTGTTATTTCCTTTTTTCTAGTATTTTGGCTTCTACGTTTATTTATTGGTCCACTGTTATTTCCTTTTTTCCAGTATTTTGGCTTCTAATTTTATTTATTGTTTCACTTTTATTTCCTTTTTTCTAGTATTTTGGCTTCTACGTTTATTTATTGTTCCACTGTTATTTCCTTTTCCTATTATTTTGGCTTCTAATTTTATTTATTATTCCACTGTTATTTCCTTTTTTCTAGTATTTTGGCTTCTAGGTTTATTTATTGTTCCACTGTTATTTCCTTTTTCTATTATTTTGGCTTCTAATTTTATTTATTGTTCCACTGTTATTTCCTTTTTTCTAGTATTTTGGCTTCTAGGTTTATTTATTGTTCCACTGTTATTTCCCTTTTTCTAGTATTTTGGCTTCTACGTTTATTTATTGTTCCACTGTTCTTTCCTTTTTTTCTAGTATTTTGGCTTCTAGTTTTATTTATTATTCCACTGTTATTTCTTTTTCTCTAGTATTTTGGCTTCTAGTTTTATTTAATTTTGTACACAATNACTGTTATTTCCTTTTTTCTAGTATTTTGGCTTCTAGGTTTATTTATTGTTCCACTGTTATTTCCTTTTTTCTAGTATTTTGGCTTCTAGTTTTATTGATTGTTCCACTGTTATTTCCTTTTTTCTACTATTTTGGCTTCTAGTTTTATTGATTGTTCCACTGTTATTTCCTTATTTCTAGTATTTTGGCTTTTAGTTTTCGAAATACATCCTACGCCCTTACATGAGCATCGCATTGACCGTACTGTCGACGGGATGGGCGCTTTTTCGGGGGTGGACGCTCGTTCGTGAAAATACGGTATCTGCTATCAGTAATCTAAACGTGACTCGGATGGTCCCAAGGCACTTTCCCAAACTGGACAAGGTAGACGACATAGAATACTTATATGGACAACTAGCTTTAGCAGACAACAGAGTGTAACTTTATCAACATGAAAAATAATTACCTGTACCTGAGAAAGACCGTGATTTTGTGGCGGCTACCTTTCGGGGTATATCATAAATAATTTCATTCCAGTAATATTTGCCTTTGTCTGAAGAGGAAAGCACAGTGATGGTAATATAACAATGATTCTCAACCGATGCTTATACAGCCTAACATTTCCCCCTAGAATATAAAAATAGAGTTTACGTTGGTGGGCATAACTATGTTTTGGTCCCGACTCAGAGTCATTTCAGCCCGAGCCGCGATCGAGGGTAAAAACGACTCTAAGAAGGGCCCAAAACTCATTTTTGGCCCAAGAACATAAACTGTATTATTATTATTATTATTATTGTTATTATTATTATTGTTATTATTACTATAGCAGTGTAAACTTATCAAAGGCTAATGGGAAATAAGAAATTAAAATAAAAAACTAATTGTAGAAACTTAAAAATGTCTTCCAAGTAGAGCTTGAAAAAAAACAAACCTTTCAAATCTAGTTGTCTGAGATATCACATTAAAATACTTAGAAAAATGCTTTACTACTTATCTTATGTCATTATTTTGAAGTGGCAGGCAATGTGTAAACCTAGCGCTAACATTATTATTACTATTATTATTATCATTATTATTGTTATCGCTCTGAGAAAAATTAATGACCAAAAAATGATCTGAACAACCATTTGAGCGTGCGAACGAGCTAAAATACATTAAGCCCGAAAAAATGCGCCACAATGCCTGCCAAAGCGATGATAATAAGGAATTTGGTACCGCGTAAGACCACTGTGGGACTGCTATGTTGGTCTTCGGAAATCAACCCTTAAACTCTTAATCACTACTTCTCGTTATTGTTGCTGACTGCACATATTCCCTTGTACACTAATGATCCAGGAAAATTTGGTCCTATATGACAATAACACTCTCTAACCGATGATCGACAGCACCCCTACACTTTGTCAGAATTTCCAGAAGTATTCCTGGAAGCCATTTTGACACCTGGGTAAGAGAATATCTTATACTTGTGCCTCACTTACTTCCCAGCTTATTGAAATGACGGTTAAGTCAGACATATTCTTTCAAATATTTTTCAAGTTCAAAAATCTTACTCATTTTGGCACAAACGTATTTGAGTAGGTATTGGAGGGAGAAGAGGAAGGGGTTGGTGGCTAGTTGCGGTATATGAATGGTTCCAAACTTTACTATCTGTTGTCGGCTTTCTAAACTCGACGCAAATAGTTATAAAGCCGTTTCACTTTTAGGCTGGGCAGAAACACAAATATCTATTTGAACAACAGTATAGCAACCATACAGGTAAAATGTCTTAATTTTACTAAAATTGCATAATTCCCACCCCCTTTCTCCCAAAAAAATGTCGAATTTTGTGTGCTTTCTAAACTTTACCAAGACGTGGTGACAGTTTGGTTTTACCAACATTTTTAGAGGGGGAGGGAAGGGTCTATGTACATTGTATTCGTCTGGACTGGTCAAAATGGCCGTTTGTAATATGGAGACCACAAAATGAAAAACAAAATGATTAATTGTTGGTTATTAAGCTTCTCATTTTCTCCGCGAATGTATTGAAGTTTGTATCATCATAACTACATTTTCATCTTGATCTAACACCTAAATTTCGTAACTAATTTATAAGGAAAGGTATGGCAGCTAGAGGGGAGAATAGGTGGTTTCCACGTTACGTCATGGCAGCCATGTTGGTGGACGTAAAGAATAGATATCTCATCAGCTTCTTTTGTTCGTCCACCAGCATTTGTTCCTTTCACCATTGTTACCTGTGTCTCTAGAGAATGGGTGTTTAAACACGAAAGCGCGCTCTAAAAGGAGCCTTAGGTCCCACTGGACCATTTGTCAATCAACCGTCGTGTGCTGTAGAACTCTTAGAGCATAGTTAGTTGAGGGGACCTCTACTAACTATGCTTAGAGTAAAGTCAGCTTGAGCTACAGCTACTCCAAAGCAGTGAACGGCGGGCGCATTCCTCAAAATTGTTTTATGTCTTCATCACAATACAAGAATATTTGAGATTTGTATTTCCTTTCTCCAATGGAAACTGTCTTTATTTGTGGCGGTAAATTTGAGATCGAAGTAGGTGGTTCGCACATTACCTCATGCCACTATGCTGGTGGAAGTAAACAATAGATATCTCATTAGCTCCTTTTGTTCGTCTACCAGCATTTAAATTTGACCCGCACACGTCAACGGTGAGTGACAAATGAGCCCAGGTCTTCCCAGGGAAGACTTCCTTATATAGCGCGCCTTCGTGTTTAATGTTAACCACCGAACAATGAATTTTATGAAATTTATGTTGTATTTTTTTACTGAGGACGGATGATTGGTAGGCGGCGTCTTCTACCATAGAGCATTACACACAAATATACGTTTATTTATTCAAAAATATTTGAAATGTTCAGAAAGTTTCTCTGACAGCTTCACTTCTTTACTGATTAGAATTATAAACATCCTTTTTGGAACTTGTAAAATAATTACAAAAAATAAATCTAATGCTGCTACGGGATTTATTAGGTAAAAACGTTATTTTGTTCTTTTCCTCTATCCTCCGAAAGCTACATCATTCAAAATAGCACCATTTTATTCATATCAGTCAGACAAGCGGTAGCCATATTTGATTTCAATTCAACAAGACGAACTCAATGTCTCAAGAAGAATATCACATTCTTACAATCATTTAAAAGCGCAGTTAAATATTCCACTGAATGAAAACAGAAAAAGACGGTAAATACCTGTGGTGAAAAGTCTTGAAGAAGAAGTTTGTCCACCTGTCACTTCGAAAACCCACGTGCTCTTGGCCAGTAGTTAAATCTCATCAAAGGAAAAGTAACAATGCCACATCTTGTTCACCATCACAGCACTGGATATCTACCACAAGCTTTTGCGAGATATACAGTCCCCGTTGTTTATTCGGGCAGCTTTGCAGTCAATATATGATAACTAGTAAACAACATTCGGCCATCTTGTCATTTGAATGCAATTTCAAACCCCCCATGAGGTGATGAAAAATTTAGAATAATTTAATATTAATGCTGTATCTGCAATTCAAATGCTGAAACTTTTGGCTCGATGAAAAGCAAAAGAAGGGGGGGGCCAGGTACCTAACTTGGCCATTACTGTGTAACTCCGAACGTTTGTAACAGTTTTTCGATTGCAAAGTTTTGTAAAATGTTATGAAACACTTTTATTAGGTAGTAGAGGACAACACCTACATCATGCATCTACATCATGCATCTACATCATGCCCCTGAAGAAAAACACCTCAACTGTATGGTAATCACAGACCCCATTCACGCCAAACGCAACTTATTTCTCTAGTCTGGCCTAACTTCCACACTACCACGAAAGAGTTATTTAAAGTGGATTAATTTGAGAACGAGAAATTTGCGAGTTATGTAGTCGGGAAACATTTGAAAAAAGGGAGGGGGGGCCTCTGAAACAATTACTAACGTAAACTGCACTCGTTTGACGAAGTAATTGCTCCCTTGGGAATCATATGCTCAAGGGTGCATTTCGATTTCCGCCGAGGACCGTCGCGGTGTTCGGAAATAAATTTTCTCCTTTTTCCAGAGTGCGGAAGGAAGACTTTAGTGCGTGTCAGAGTGAAAGTGCCGTTTTCAGATTTATTCAGCACAGTGCACTTGTAGAGGGGGCCTCAGTATCCTGCCATCGTTTTCTCTTGGGGATGTAGATCAAGTCCAGTAGAGCATATTTCGAAGAAGTGTCGTAAAACCAGAACCAAAGAAATCAGCGCATCCAATCAGGACGAAGGAAAATATCGCAAATAGCCAATGAAAACACAAAGGAAAAGCAAGCAAACTGCCTGAGGTGCGGAAAAACGCAAGTGACCAAGTAGCCAGTGGGTTCAGTTTTGAATCTGATTGGTTTTGAATCTGAATGGCGTGAATTTTGTGGACAAGTCACACAGCGAAGTAAAGAAAAACAAGAGCAATCCTGAATCAATGCGATATTTATTTGATCATTATTCAAAAGTAAGTGAGGAATAGTAAAAACTAAATTCAGCAAGTGCTGGTGACTATTCCACCTGTAAATAAGTTATAAGCAGAGCACTATGGTCGCTCATGTGATGGAACGTGTATTGAATCAAACGAGATTAAAAACTTTGCAGTGAGCTTGAAACGGACAAGCCCAAACTACGATGCGTTTTATCCTTTCCTTTGAAATCTAAAGAGCTTTCAAGACTCGTTGTTCTTAGTTTGAGGGAATGAAGTGTTGTTTTTTAGCTTTACATTTACCTACTATTAGGTAAGTACCAGCGTTCTGCGCGAGGCCCTTAAGTGATAAAGTCTTGGTCTACATTTTAAATCAGGGCCCGTGCAGCAAAAGACGAACGCATGAGCTTGGGTCAAGGAAAGGGGGTAAGACTAGCCGATAAATTTTGACTTTAATTCCACGAAAATGACAGGAAATGCATTTTTAAATAAATTGTAATTCCAAACATTCCTTGAGATATCTATCACAAGTTCTTCAGATATCTATCACAAGTTCTTTAGATATCTATCACAAGTTCTTTAGATTCACTATAACTACATCGAAATATTCTCTACTGCAGTATAACTGATATAAACCTAATTCAGAACTATAAATAACCCAGAAATCCAACGATATGTCGTATGTAATAAATTAATTTAAAACAGCGAGGGGTAATGCGGTAGTGGCAGCTATTTACTGCATAATTCCTCCTTTGAAATTGCCAAAATTTCGCTTTCTGCTACAGTTACACCCGGTATATTGGTTGGCAATGTCAGGAAGAGAAAGTCTGTCATTTCTTTATGACTGTTTAGTACCGTTCGGTTGCTAAATCTTTCTTGGTTCATTGTTGACATTCAGATAGAACCGCTCCTTTAAACTCTCCTGCTTTCACGTTGTTGACCTCACGCACAACTATCCCTGTTAACTGTGGTCCCTCCATTGACAATACTGTTGTAAAATGCTTCGGTTCCATGTCTTCAAGCACCAATTAACTTCTTCACGGTATAACCCTGGAAAACACGCACAGTAAACGCACACTGTAAGAAGTCACGCTCATGATGTGGGTCGAGTGAAAGGCTTAAGAAAATCATATGACAAAGGGCCGAGTAACAGATGGAACACAGTCTAGCCTCGTCTTTGAAATACTGCAACCTCGCCCCATTTCCAAAAATTCAATTTGACACTGTCTTCTCACCGAAAAGAGAGGATATTCTGAAAGTGTTATTGACAAAGCAAACACAAACGAGATACATGAATTTTTAAGCACAGACGGAGACGATGAGAGCAGAGTTGTTAGAGGGATGCTTGAAGCTATCTGGTGGTTAAATCTGGTGTAAGACGTTGTTGGCAAATGTCAAGCTAAGAGCGACCTCTTCGGTGAAAAACGTTATCCAACCTGAGTCAGAAAACGTATTTCTTGTCCCTTGATAGGAGTACAGATGCTATAAAGAAACCGTAGCTTGATAAACAAAGGATTTAGTAGAAAATTCTTTGTGCTACACGAGGGCAAGGTCCGTCTACGATCAATGCATCAAATGCGATTCAACCGCCAAAAGTTTGCCCTTTCATACTACAAGCTAAGGATATCACATTTGTACTTTTGGGTCGGTGGAGGTATAAGCTGGAAAGGAGTTCGATGGAGGATAGTAAAGGACCTCGTATCACGTTCGCTCCAGCCACGTTTGGATCGCAAGTCAATCGATAATTTCGCCATATAGTGTTCTTTATTTCAAGTCAATTTTAAACCTTAGAACATAACAAAGCATCAGTCATCTCCTCCAACATGTGCTTTTAGCACTATCACATAAACCTACCGGCGATGCATAAACGAAGAGGACTACCAAAGCTATCAAGAGAAAGATCGCCAAGAACTTGATGATCTTCCACTTGTACCGGCGCCACAAAATGTAGCGTAGGCTCTTGAATGGAGACGAGAACCAGGCGAAGGATGTCGCAGGACGACTGCAGAAAGATCACAGTGTTAGTGATGCATACCTAACTCACCATTGTTAAAAGGCAAAGGAGGAGGATCGTTCGTCAACGGTAATCGACAGTCAGCCCATGGCATTTATTGCAGATAAAACTTAACTTTGTTCCATCGCAATTTCGCGTATATTCCAGCTTTACTTTTACCCCTTAATTAGTAAGAGTGACTGGCTTCTAATTCTCCTTACAGTTTCACCATTAAATCAAATGTAAAAGTAATGAGATTAAAGGAAATGATCACCAGTTTTTAGAGACTATTGATTGTCAAACAAATTTTCCTTATCATTACCGTAGAAAATGTAGCGAGAACAGTGTGGGGAATTTGAGTATTCATTTTAGGGTGCCAAGGGATAAGAAAAAAATGTTGCTTTCGTCATCATCGTGGGAACAAATTTATTGGGAAATTAAAAAACAGGATTCACTAGTGAACAAAACAGGATCTTTTCCGCTCTTTCCTCTCGTTGCTCGCGTTTTTAGTTTCCTGAGAGTCCCTTAAAACACAGCCGCTCTTTCATATGTCAATGTTCAGAACTGACACTTCAAACCAATTGTGCTATTTTTGTTTGTTTGTTGTGCTTACTTTGGTGGATCCAGCGTTGGATTCTGGTTCGGTTCATCTCGCCCTGTCCCAGCGGGCTTCTCTTCAGCTTCTTGTTGCGTCAAGAGTTCTAACGTCATCTCTACCTTACCCTGCAAGTGATAAACAGTCCACTAATTCAATAGTTAACTCAACAGTATAATTATTCCACAGCTAAAAGGAAGCCGCGCCTCCACTCAAGAATGGCGAGCCACATTCTTATAGTACCATCACATTATACAGGCAAAAAGCTAGAGTGTCTCTTCGAGGTCAACACTTGGGCTTTACGAAGTATTCTTTACATTTATGTTCATATGTAATAATTTTTGCATTCTTTGCTTACAGTGGTACTTAAAAGCTTCATTGGAGGGTAATTGATTATCTAACCACAAATTTCTTTGATTAATATTGAGTATATACCGCCAAGATTTGCTCGCCATTCTCCGTTCCGACTGCAGGCCACCAGCCATTCGTTCGCTTCAGATCAAACAAAGACACTGTCTCTGTGTTTCGTCGCGGCTTGTTCTTCAACCCTGGAAGCTGATCTAAGCTGCACTTGCGCGCATTCTTAGCTGGTTTTGGCATTTTGTTTAAGTTTAATTCTAACGTACCTGGTAAAAAAAAGACACATAAACTACTTTCAGATAATGGTGGTACGCTCTGGCAATGAAATTGGTCAGAGAAGCTATGACACCATATCCGAATCGCAAATCAATTTTTGTTTTTTTGGATAAACAAACGTTTTGTTCAAAATTCACTCCAAATTCCTCCAAAATATCATTTCACTGCAAGCAGACAGGGGATTGGAGTGAAGGAACTATCAACCAGGATATGTAACATGATTGAAGCCAACTTCTCACGCCTGACATTATTTTAGAAAAATCTATTGGAAGTGAAAAGGATAACAAGTTCGTGTTACGATCTCGGCAAATCAGGAAATCAGTATGTAAGAAAGATTCATTTTTGGGGACTATAACATCAACTTAAGGTGCTCCTGGAGTAGCTTATGGCAATAAAATCAAAAATAATTCTAAAATGCTCGAGAACGCAAATTAAGCAGTAAAAAATTGGAGAAAGAGACTTACCGAGGAAATCGTCTGGAGAGAACAAGTCGTTATCCCAGATTTGTAGAATCAGTTTTGGAGGAATTCTTTGCTCTCTTATGTCAAGGCTCCAAAAGTGCGCCTATCGAAACAAAAAGAATTGAAATTTGTCATAATGATAACAAATGCTGCCCAAAGGCGGAACCATGATTTAGAAGGGGTAACCACCATAAGAATGGAACTGTAAGCTTGAATGTTTTTTTTCTCGCCAATCGCCTAGAGAATGACACCCATGTTCTTGGTAGTTCTTCTTAACCATTTAACTCCCGGAATTGATTGATAGGTAACTGCTCCCTATGATATTCATACATTATCTGACAAACAAGTGACGAGATTAATCAAACTTATCCGGTTGAAATTGTTGCCTTGATCTAACACCAAATTCTCGTAAATAAATTAAAAGGAAATGTGTAGCAGCTAGAGGGGAGAGTTAGCAGTCAGATCTTGTGAATTTAAGGGTTAAGACAGCCTCTCTTCTTTTTGATTTACATGGTTTTTTCATCCAATCAAATATATTTGATGCAGTAACAATTAAGCTGGAATTACTACAACGGCAAGCTACCTTATACCTTTTTTCTTACAACCATAACTTTTTCGGCCGGAATATACAAGAACGGGAAAAGAAACCGCCAGTTGAAGTTACCCGTACCGTCCAGAGACCTAGTAAAAAAGCGTCAGGTTATGATAGAAGATATATAGTAGGCACTTTTCGACTGAATGACGTAAAACGAAAACCAAAGTAATCAGAACACCCAATCAGATAGAAGGAAAATATCAAGAGGACCTAAACAGAACTCAGAGTAAACACAAGCAAACTGACTATAGCGCGGAAAAATGCGGATGATGAAGTCGAGATTGGTTTTAATATGGAATCTGATTGGTCGAGGAAGGAGCGCGAGTTTTCAGGACCAATTACACGGCGAAGTAAAACAAAACAAAAGCAATCAAAGATTACTTTCGACACGTAATCAGTCTGATAAATAAATCAAATAAATAAAGGCTGATAGTTTCTAAAGAAACTGTTTGGGGTTGCGTCGGTGGGGGTAACGAAATAATTTGGATATATCAACAAAGTTGAAATGATAAATTGGCCACCGTAACGATTACAAAAGCTGACGTTTCGAGCGTTAGCCCTTCGTCGGAGCGAATAGAGGAATTGNTACATCCTTACCTTCAACTCGACACTGTGCGCATTCATATCTTATTACACGACTCGGGCAGTCAGAAGGCCAATAACTAAACTCAACCAATCAAAATGCTCTATTGCCGGTCAATATTCGCTCAGTATTGGACCGGGCACTATCCCGAATAGTCCCGAATGATACCGCACTTGTGTCCCTTTGAACTTCAGTCGTATAATAAATCTCTTATTAACCAAGCTTGCTCGGGACCGTAGTGGAAGAATATCGGCCCTCGGTCTTTTTTGTACGGACCTCGCTGCGCTCGGTCCGTACTGTCAAGACCTCGGGCCGGTATTCTCCCAGTACGGCCCTCGCGCTTGGTTAATAAGATATATGTAAACAAGCCTAAAACAATTCGGAAAAAAAAAAAAAACAATCATGTGACTATTTAACCCACGACCGTGACCAGAATCTAATATCTCCTCGCTGTATTTACTGCTGAACAAAACATGAAGCTCAAGAGAATAAATGAAATGATCGCCAACAAAAGAAACTCTTGATTGTTAAACAACTTTTCCTTGTCAGCATCATAGAAAATATGTAGGGAAATCATAGAGAATGCGCGTACTGCTAGGAGGTGTAAAAGGCTCACATATATCTAGATTACCCTTTCACGTAAATGTCGCTCATCGCTTCCCCCATGGCAGACACTTCCTCTAAAATGACGTCACTCGTGTTCCATATGATGACGCGTAACATGTAATCCCATGGCTCTCGGGGTGAGATGTTAAACGGCAACCCTGGCGGTCCATAATTTTTTGGGAAAATGTCCACCCACATTTGAAGTTTTCCCTGACGAAAGAATACAAATTGTCATAAACATGTATAATATCTGGCACTGCCGAGTAATTGGAGAAAATCTTTGGATTCTAGACTCTAGACATTTTCTCCTTCGGGAACAAGACTTCCGCAAGTGAAAAGAGACCGTTGCAAAGTAACGAATTTTTCGTAGGAAAAGGGTGATTGGCATGGTCTTTAATTAATGAGGTTAAGCACAGAAACCGTAAAGATTGAAAAGCTTTCCTCGTACATTTTTTAAATGACGCTAGCTTTGAAAAATTAATCATTTTGTTCTCAAGAGAGGGGAAAACTATCTTTAAAAAAAACCTTCACAATCACTGTTGCACCAAAAAGAAAAAATAACCTGGTACTTTCCAGGGAATAAATAACATCTTAATATTTCGTTTTACCTAAACTTGAAATCAAATCTCTTACCCCTGGTCATGGTTTTCCGGAACCCGACAAGATCAACAACTTAAGTTAAATCAACCCAGCCATTATTGACGTAACGACTCACAAACCTGTTCTACTCCAGGCTGCAAAGTGCTGTACAGTGGTCGCGTTTCCACGTGCTCTGGCACCAGTGGCAAACTGTTAAGCAAGTGCAAGGCAAGGCGCTGATCAGGGGGACCCATGTGAGGAGATATTGTCATTCCAATCTCTGCAAGGAAGTGAACGAAATGATCAAATTGACTCGTGTAATAATAACAGAATGAGAAAGATCGAAGCCTGACCCTACCAATATCCTGTTCTTGTAGGTATTATAGCGTCGCTTGTTGTCGTAGAGTTAACCAACGATACCGATTTGTTAAGGACTGGCCGAAACATTATTCTTGGTATGTTGAATTCAATTTTATGTAACAAATAGGTCAACAAGCTCGTTACAATCCGGAATTAAATTTGTATCGAAAGGCTGTGGTGTTGCCGCTTGAAAGCTAACGTTACATATCCAGTAAATGAACGTAGTTTTTAAATGGTATATTATTATCAGTTTCAGGTAAAAATAGGTAACATCGATACAGAGAAATTAGATGCTAGCCACCCTCAGAGGTTAAACAGCTGAGAGTAAGCACATGTCCCCCACTTACCAAAATCTTCCAAGCAGTACGCATCTCCGTGGAATATTACTCTATCGTTACCAATAAATCTTGGTCTATGAAAGTTGTTTGTCTCGCAGTACTTGTCCAGAATCTGCCTTGGTGTGCGAGCGTCACGCCACTTGTTAATACCGGAACTAAAATTAGGTTTCAAAGGAATTAGTCTGAGAGTAATTTTCAAATAAGTGTCGAAAGTATTCCAGAATTGCTTTGGCTTTCCTTTAATTTTAAGTCCAGAAAACTCGCACCACTACGTCAACCGCTCACATTTACACTTAAACCATTCGCTAAACCATCAGTCACGTTTACCCGCGCTTCAAGGAGATCGGTGTTTTTGGTTTTGTTTTCTTTTTTTTTTTACTTTGAGATCTTATTAATTCCTTGCAATATTTTGCTCTGTTCTCACTGGCTGCTGCGATGACTTTCTTCTGGTTTTATGACACCAAGTTAGAATGCAGCTGGAATGCTCTCTATCAAATTTAAAAAATGCACTTCTCAAAAAAGAAACAATAGCGTATCCATGAACTATAAAACACAGAGACTGCTACTCACAAAATCCACAATCAAACCTGAAATACATAGCGTATTAATCACTAACAAAACATAGAGAGCACGCGTATCAGTAACTCAATCACACATAAAACACAGAGCGCGCTTAACACTAACGAAAGAATCAAACGGAAAATACAGAGCGCACTTGTCACTAATGAAACAACTAAACAGAAAATACAGAGCGAGCTTTTCAGTACCAATGAAATCGAACAAGAAATATAGAGCGCGCTTACCACTAACAATACGATCAAACATAAAATACAGAGATCACTTATCACTAACGAAACAATCATACAGAAAATACAGAGCGCACTCATCACTAACGAAACAATCATACAGAAAATACAGAGCGCACTTATCACTAACGAAACCAGCAAATAGAAAATGCAGAGCGAGCTTATGATAAAAAAAAAACAAAATACAGAAAATATAGAGCGTGCTTATCACTGGCGAAAAAAATCAAACAGCAAGTGCAGAGCACGCTTATCACAAACGAAACAATCAAACAAGAAAATAGAGAGCACTCTTTTCACTAATCAAACAAACAAACATAAAATAGAAAGTTCGCCAATCACTTACAAGACAAAAAAAAGAAAATACGGAGCGCGCTTATCACTAACGAATCAAACAAACAGAAAATGGAAAGGTAATTTGGTTTTATCAACTAAGTTGAAATTGCAAATTGGCCACCGTAAAGAGTTTAAAAAGCTGACATTTCGAGCGTCAGCCCTTTTGTTCGCTCTGACGAAGGGCTAAAGCTCGAAACGTCAGCTTTCCAAACTCTTTACGGTGGCCAATTTAACCCTAACCCCCACCGACGCATCACCACAGTTTCTTTAGAAACTTACCCCCTTTAAAAAATATAAAGCGCCCTCATCACTAACAAAATTTAGAATGTGCTTACTATCACTTAGGAAAAAATCAAACAGAAGATAAAGAGCGCGCTAATCGCTCCAAAACACATAAATAGAAAATAGAGGGCGCGCTCATCACTAAAGAAAAATCAAACAGAAAATGGAGAACACGCTCATCACTAACGAAACAATAAAAAAACAGATAGAGAGCGTACTTCTCACTAAAGAAAAAATCAATTAGAAAACGGGGCGCACTCATCAATAACAAAGCAATCAAACGTAAAAGACAGAGCGCACTTATTTAAAACCGAATCGATCGAACATAAAATACTGAGCACACTTACAACTAACGACACAATGAAACGTAAACTACAAAGACCGCTTAGAATTAATGATGGTAATTGAACTGAGAGGAGTGCTATTTGGACTGAAATCACATGCTTAATTTCAAAATTAAACGAGTGCAAAGCACAAGTTAATTTTAAATCACAAGTATTATTTCAGACCAAAACTGCACGACACGAAGTTCAATTCAGTATTACATTCAATTTTTTAATTGGAAAATTCAGTTGCTCAGATGCAGGATTTTTAGTATATACAAATGTTTCGTCGATCCAGTAGTGACGTGGTTTGTTAAAAGTTGCTAGTATTATTGCAATTTAATTGGCTTCTTTAAAAACGCGATTAGTTTCTTTGCTTTAGTAAACCTTCTTCAATGGTTAAAAAAAGATGTGTTTTAGAGAACGCTTAAAACTGAAAAAAAAAAAACAATCTAACATAAACTACAAAGTCTCCTTAAAACTAAAAAACTACAGAGCACGCTCAGAACCAACGAAATAATCAAAAGTAAACTAGAGAGCGCGCCAAGAACTGACAAAACAATCAGAAGTGAACTACAGAGCGCACTCAGAACTAACGAAAAAAAATCAAATGTAACTAAAACGCACACTTAGACCTGACGAGAACATAAAAAATAAACTACAGCGCAAATCAGAACTAACGAAACAATCAGAAATAAAGTACGTGTACTCACAACTAACGAAAAAATCGAATGTAAACTACAGAGCGCACTTAGATCTAACAAAACAATCAAAAGTAAACTACAGAGCGCACTTAGAACTAACGAAACAATCAAATGTAAACTACGGCGCACACTTAAAACTAACGAAAACAATCAAATGTAAACTAGTGTCCTTAAAGTATCGAAACAATGGAAAGTTCAACACAGAGCGCACTAAGAACGAAACAATCAAATGTGCACTTAAGAGCGCGCTTAGAACTAACGAAACAATCAAATGTTAACTACAGTGCGCGCTTAAAACCAACGAAACAATCAAAAGTAAACTACAGAGCGCGCTCAGAACTAACAAAACAATCAGAAGTAAACTACAGAGCGCGCTTAAAACTAACCAAACAATCAAAACTAAAATGAAGACCGCACTGAAAACAAACAAAACAATCAAAAGTAAACTAAACAGCACACTTGGAACTAACGAAAAAATCACATGTTAACTACAGAACGTACTCATAACAAACCAAACAATCAAACATAAACTAGAGAGGGCGGTCAGAGCTAAAGAAACAATCAAAAGTAAACTACAGAGCGCGCTTACAACTAACGAGACAATCAAAAGTAAACTACAGTGCACGCTTAGAACTAACAAAACAATCAAATATAAAATACAGCCCGCGCTTAAACTATCGAGACAAACAAAAGTTACCTATAGAGCGCGCTTAGAACTAACGAAACAATCAAACATAAATTACAGAGCTTACTTACAGCTAACGAAAAAAATCAGAAGTAAACTACAGTGAGCCTTCAGAACGAAAGAAATAATCAAAACGTGAACTACAAAGCGCGCTTAGAAGTAATTAAACAATCAAATGTAAACTACAGAGCGCTCTTAAAACTAACGCAACAATCTAACGTTACCTACTGTGCACACTTAGAACTTTCGAAACAATCAAATGTACACTACAGCGCAAGCTAAAACTATCAAAACAATCGATCATTAACTACAGAGCGTGCTAAGAACTAACGAAACAATCAAAAGTAGACTACAGAGCGCACTTATAGCTAACGAAACATTCAAAAGTAAACCACAGAGCGCGTAGAACTAACGAAACAGTCAATTAAACTACAGTGCGCGCTCCGATCTAACGAAACAATGAAATGTAAAGTACAGAGCGCACTTTCAACTAACGAAACAAACAAATGTAAACTATAGAACGCGCTTAAAACTAACGAAACAATCAAAAGTTAACCAGAAAGCAGACTTAAAACTAACAAAACAGTCTAGTGTAAACTACAGTGCGCACATAGAACTTACGGAACAATTAAATGCAAACTACAGTGAACGCTCAAACTATGGCAACAATCGAAAGATAACTACAGGGTGCCCTTAGAAGTAACGAAACAATCAAAAGTTAACCACAGGGCGCGCTAAGTACTAACCAAAATATCAAAAGTACACTACACACCACGCTTAGAACAAACCAATCAATCAAGAGTAAACTACAGGGCGCACTTGGAGCTAACGAAACAATCATATGTAAACTAAAATGCGCGCCTAGACTATCGATACAATCGAAAGTTAACTGCAGAGCACACTTAAAACTGACGAAAAAATCAAACATAAGCTACAGTGCACGCTTAGAACTAACGAAACAATAAAAACTTATCTACAGATCGAGCACGCTAAGAACTACCGAAACAATAAAAAGTTAAGTACATAGAGCACTTCGAAATAACGAAACAATCAAATGTAAACTACAGAGCGCACTTAGAACTAACGAAACAATCAAATGTAAACTTCTGAGTGGACTTGGAACTAACAAAACAAATCAAACGCAAACTACAGCGCGCGCATAGAACTAACGAAACAATCAAATGTTAACTTGAGAGCGCGCTCCAAACTAAAAAAAAAAGTAAACTAAAGAGCGCGCTTGGAACTTACGAAACAATCAAATGTAAACTTGATAGCTATAGCGCACTCACAGCGAACGAAACAGTCAAATGTTAACTAAAGAGTGCGCTAAGAACTAATGAAACAATCAAATGTAAACTAGAGAGGGCACTTAGAACTAACATAACAATTAAGTGTAAACTACAAAGCGCACTTAAAACTAACGAAACAATCAAATGAAAACTAAAGAGCGCACTTAAAACTAACAAAACCATCAAGTGTAATCTAAAGAGCGCGCTCAGAACTAACGAGACAATCAGAAGTAAACTTCACACCGCACTCAGAACTAACAAAACAATCAAGTGTAAACTACAGAGGGAACTTAGAACTAACGAAACAATCCAATGCAAACTACAGAGCGCACTTAAACCTAAGGAAACAAGCGTACTTAGAACTTACGAAACAATCAAATACAAACTACAGAGCGCGCTTAGATCCGACGTAACAATTAAATGTAAACTACGGTGCGCACTTAGAACTAACGAAACAATCAAATGTTAACTACAGAGCGCGCTTAGAACTAACCAAACAATTAAATGGAACTTACGAAAAAATCAAATGTAAACTACAGAGCGCGCTTAGAACTAACCAAACAATTAAAGGTAAATTACACAGCGCACTTCGAACTAACGAAACAATCAAACGTAACCTACAATGCACGCTAGCTATTAGAGAGCTTAAGCAACAGACGTTCTTGACAACACGAACGGCAGAGAAGCCGCGTAAGACTGAATCGAGGCCTTCGTTCTTGGCGCGAAATAGGGA